GTGTGGGTGTGGGTGTGTGGGTGTGGGTGTGTGGGTGTGGACTGTGGGCTGTGTGTATGGGGTGTGTGAGTGTGTGTGGAGTGTGGGTATGGTTAAGTGAAGAGTAAATCCACACTCACACTCACACCCACAGCCACACCCCACACCCATACCAACACCCACACACACCCGCACCCATCCACGCCCACACCCACACTCAATCGAAACGAATCGCGGCCCAGTGGTTAACTACGACAATCAGATAGTTAACTCGCATGTTCTTTTGGAAGAAAAACAAGATTTTTGGCTTTTATTGATTTAAAGAGAGAGTGTATTTTTTACTGAATATTGTAGTTGTAGACTATGATGTATGTGTACTCTATCCATAACGAAAGTTTTAATTTTCATTGTTTTCAGTAGAAGAAATTTGGAAAATTCTAAAGGCAACATTTTTTGCACTCTACTGTATGTGACCGTTTCATATCGTTATTTTATTTTTTTCCAACATGCATTATAATGCCATTCCTCCATTATCGCAAGAGTGTGGACGTGCAAAGGGTTATTTCATAACACATACACAATCTTTCACGGAACAGAACAGGACAGCACGCTATTTACATTGACTGTAATTTTCACGACAATGAATAACTCGGTAGGGGATTATGACGCTGAGTAAATAAAAGATATGTTAACATGAAAGTTGGTACTTTTCAACATTAGAAGAAGGAGAAAGAGAAGCATCGATTATAAAAAAAGGGAGTAATATAAAAAGCTGTTTGCATTTTTTTTCTTGTTATTGACAGAACCAACACGAAACCCAATATTCTCGCTTATTACATCCGCTGGCAATCATTCCACATAATCTTAGTTAAAAGACGCTGTCGTCGAGTGAGTATTCACGTAGGAGCCGTTCACTTGTTCCTTACACATTGAAAGAACTGTTGCCTATTTGAAAAATCCAACAGGTTCAATGCACGAGTCAAAAGAAAAGTGTACCGATATGAATTCGGTTTTTTATATCAAAATATGTATCAATACATGTACAAAGTGAATTGATACGATAAGCGTTAGAAGGCATCATTAGACTTAATGTGAGAGTCAATTGAATAGTGACAATCTTTAGCATTTCCTTTCCAATTGAAACTTCATACTATCATTCTAGATTAGTATCATATTCGATTTAGAAGTGTATCAGAATGACAAAAACAAAGCTTAAAGAATTCATTCTACAATCAACATTTGTCAGCATGTAAGAACGATTTCAGTTTGATAATGACAACACTGAGTGTGCATCGTTGATTAGGCTTATGATCGCGTGCACTAACGCGATAACTCTCTGTCCGACAGCTGTGTGGTCGAACACTGCAACGACAGTGGCCGGTTCGTCAACAGGCTCATGGGGATCGACTCCAGCACTACTCAACTATCCGACTGATGTATTCATTGACAACACTGGAGCCTATTACGTGTTAGACAGCTCGAATTATCGCGTACAAAAATGGCTGCCGGGCGAGACTGTGGGAACGACAGTAGCTGGTGGCAGTTCGGGCACAGGTCTTCATCAATTTAATGACGGTCAGTAGTATTTGATTATCCATGTATGCCTTACATTCCTCGTTTTAGTGGCCACTGTGAGCGTAGACACGAATGGCAATATCTATGTGCTCGATCAGAGCAATGACCGCGTCACGAAATGGGCACCCAATGGGTTATACGGCTCGATCGTGGCCGGTGGGAACGGCAGAGGCAATAGTAACAACCAACTCAATTCGCCTAAAGGCATGTTCGTCGAAGCTAACACATTGGCCATCTGGATTGCTGACACGTACAATCATCGGATTGTCAAGTGGTCATCACCATTGACAGGTGTGGTTGTTGCTGGCAGCTCTGGCTCGGGAGCTAGTCAGTTCATGTATCCAGAAGGTGTATTCGTCGATGCTAGTGCTTCGAACACGATTTATGTGGCAGATACTGGCAATCATCGAATCCAAAAGTGGCTACCAGAAGCAACTAGTGGTATAACGGTGGCTGGAGAAACGCGCGTCCCCGGTGACGGGTTCAATCAACTCAAGTCTCCACGGACGATGATTGTCGATACTAGTGGCAACATTTTTATCTCGGACTCAGGTAACAATCGCATTATGCGCTGGCCACTAGGTTCCAATTACGGCTTGCCGATTGCCGGGAACAATGGTCAGAGCCAACTACCTGATCAATTGTACACACCACTAGGCATGAACTTCGATTCAAATGGAGCGCTTGTTGTTGCCGACTACCGCAATCATCGTGTCCAAAAGTTTGCTGTTTCTTGTCGTATGTATCACACATGAGGGTCCTTTGTCGTCACTTTACCGTCTTTTTATCTATAGCTGCTGCCACCACAACATCTGCAACGACTACCGAACCGTCAAAAGGATCAAGTATGTATTTCATTTTGAAACTGGGTAAATATACGAAAAAATGAGGACTTTTCGTGACGATATCGTAATCAGCACTATGGCAAAGATTATTTGTCAAAATTGATCTGACAGGGCTACAAACTCGATTTTCTCTCCGAACATGGCATTCGAGTGGAGGACTTTCATGAGTACAGCTGTACTTCAAACGTGTCTCAAGCTATCTCGTTATGCTGAAGATTATTCGAGTTGGTCTATTGACTTTTGAAAAGAGTGCAGCAAACTATCCATTCACACTAATAGAAAAATTTTTTTAAGTTGTGAAGTGTGGCATCGTTACGATGAGAGAAAACAGTCTCATTCTGATGTCGTTAAACGGTATTGTTGCTCAGTTTTTTCTTCTTTTTTCCTTCCGTCTGTTGAATAATTGTCTAATGTTTACTCCAGAGTACATCAAATAATTGGCACAAAATACCTAATTGATTGTGACACTTTCGGCGACTAACTATTTATGGTTGTGACGCCAACAGTAGCAGAAGCATGAAAGGAAAACAGAACAAACACGAGCGAAATAGAAACACTCGTACAGACATAACAATTTGAAAGTCACAGAAAAGAACCAGATGATGATATATGGCTACGTCATATTATTTTTGTCTCCTTTTGGAAATTTTCCGTATAACAACTTTGCTTGATAAAAAGATGGCCTATCGATAGCAATGTCTCCATGAATGATCTCAGCAGGTATCGAGCTTAATTTTCTTGCATTATAAATATTTTAAGTGAGGCATAACAAGGTTCAGCATCCTATACGACGAAAGAGAAGAAAGATGCTAATTCATTTTAAATACAGAAATGCATAAAAAAGCTTGATAATTGAATATGACCTTATCACCAGACATTCCTCGCACTGGACTCAAAAAACCAGTAACCCTCATTTAAAAACAATGTCGATCACAACAATAAAGGCTACGCAGTTATTAGTAACCTTCAATATTGCATATAATTCCATCCACCATTATGGATTTTTTGAAAAAAAAATGTTGATCCATTTTAACGGATTGATTATAGCTCCCGTTCCGAATACAGTTTGTCCAACAGCTGTGTGGTCGAACACTGCAACGACAGTGGCTGGTTCGTCAACAGGCTCATGGGGATCGACTCCAGCACTACTCAACTATCCAAGAGATGTGTTCATTGACAACATTGGAGCCTATTACGTGTCGGACGACTCGAACTACCGCGTACAAAAATGGCTGCCGGGCGCGCTTGATGGAACAACAGTGGCTGGTGGCAGCCCAGGCACAGGTCTCAATCAATTTAATAGCGGTCAGTAGTGTTTGATTATCCGTGTACACATTACCCTCCTCATTCTAGTGGACCGTGTGAGTGTACAAACGAGTGGCAATATTTACGTGCTCGATCACGGCAACGA